GGTGTGCGGGGGGGGCAAAACGAGCAAACTCCACGCCGTGGCCGCGAAGCGCGTGCCGCCGCCAAGGCTCTATTTGCGTCCCTGCCCCCTCGGTTTCCCCCCAATGGCTGTGCCCTGGCCGACCAAAGAGAGACACGCGGGGGGAGCAGGCCAGACAACGCGGGACGGCGCAAGAAAAAAAGAGGATGGAGGGATAAGAAACAACGGACGACGGAGCGCCGCCTCAGCGACGCTGAATCCCGGGCCGACGGGTGACGCTGTTCGTGGTGTTGCTGTTGTTCACGGCGCCGCTGACGCTGCCACTGCCGCTGCCCCCGCTGCTGCTATTGGCGCGACGCGTCTGCGTGTGGAACGCTTGCGCGCCGATGTAGTGGTGGGCACAGTCGTCGCGCGACTCAAAGTACCTCTGCGCGCGCAGCCGTGTCTCGTCCGAGATGATGCGGTCGCTCAGCTTCGCCATGACGCGCGCCCCCGCAGAAAGCGGCCGCAGCGCCTCTGAGGAGCCGTCCTTCAACGCGGAGTACAACTCCGCGACGAGCAGCAGCTCCCTCACCTCGCGGTCCTGGCCATCGCTAACTAAACTCAGTAGATCCAAGTTGTCCTCGAGGTAGGCGGTGGTGTTGCTGCAGAGCTCAGCGTGCAGAATGGCGCTAAGGACCTCGGGGGCGACTAGTGGGCAGCGCAGGTACGCGGAGGAGCGCACGGCATTAAAGAGAGCCTCCTTTGTGGGGGTCCCTGTAAGGAGCGCACAGAAGACATTGATCTCCACACTCGCGAGACGAACGTCAGGGAAGTTCACGACCCTCAGCTCGTAGTCCCGCTTACGGTGCGTGTTGTGCCGGTGAACGACCTGCAGTGGGCGGTAACGCACGAAGTTCGTCGCCTCATCGCTCGGCGCCCGCGGGGCACTGGCGAGGACCTGCAGCTGCTTGGAGACATCGCGCAGGTACACCCGCACCGCGGCTGGATCGTTGCTCAAGAGGTGCTGCAGCGCCTCATTGAGGAGGTCCTCGTCCAGCACCTCCCGCGCCGCGTCACTCCAAATCATCGCCGCCCAGTACTTAAAAATGCCCAGGTCTTCATGCAGCCTCTGAGACACCGCGTTGACAAAGACACCCATGGCAACCCTGCGCAGTTCCTGCTTCAGGGCCCCTTTATGATGGCGATTCATGGAGGACAGAAAGGTGCCGTACATGGAGCGATCCTTCACCGCCTTGACGACAGTCAAGCAGCGTTCGGTCCAAACCCCCGCCGCAGCGAGGACATCTGCAAACGTATTTGTTATTTCCTCCACTACCTCGGCAAGGCTGCGTCCAGCAACGGTGACATTCTGCATGTGACGCGCCACATTCTCCGGCGTGGCCAGCAGTTTCGTCACCGGAGGAGCGGAGCCTGCGGGGCCGTTTATTGAGGCATTTGACGTCGTGCTGTTTTGACGTGAGGCGGCGCTCCGCGGGGCAGGGATCGGTTTGCCGCCAACAAACACCGGAAGCTTCGCCTTTGGTGACAATTCACTTGGCACGGCCACCGCAGCTCTTCCGCCTATGGAGGCAAACGAACTTTCCTCGCTGCACGGACTAAGAGGTGGGGGCACACTGCCACCATTTGCCAACCGCTTTCCCTCCTGAACTGACTGCTGCTGCTGCTGCTGCTCTTCCTCCGTATGCGGTTGCGGTTGTTGTTGTGCCGCGGCAAGGGTGGCGTTCCGCTCCTCCACAAGCGTGTGCATCTTTCCCGTGACACTCATGAGCAGGAACCTAATGCGAGGGACCGGGTGGTGCACACACCAGTGCTGCAGGACGTTTGTGATGTCCGTCAGCATGGCCGCCCCCACCGCGGTGTGGAAGAAGCTCGTGTCCACAATGTTTAGCAGCACGATAGCCTCATCCATCTGCGCCTCTGTCGGCGTGTAGGGCGGAGGAACACGCAATCCCTCACGACCGTACAACCCCGTGCAGACAGTCATGAGAATGTGCTCAATCACCTTCTCCGTCACAATTTGGCGCAGGAAGAGTTCCCCCACGAACCGCACAATGCCGCACGCCCGATCCCGGCGCTCCTTAAAATCCTCCTCCGACCCTTGCGAATCACGGTTCTCCCCGCCCTGCCCTGCCCGTTCTATGTTCTGATCCTCTAACTGCTGAAACTCCATCTGGCAGCGATGCAGCAGCTGCTGCCGCAGCCGGTACTCAAGACTCTGCGCCTTGTCACCCACAATTCGTTGCCCCTCTGGCACCTTGCAGAGCGCAGAGACTAAATCGGCATACAAGTTGGAGAAGTGTTGCTCTCGCACCGCCTTTATGAAGAAGACCTCAACAATTGAGGCCAGAGTCGCATCATTCGCCTCGGGTATGGGCAGGCGCAGCAACTCGTTCTTCACCTCGCGGTACTTGCGTGTTTCGTTCGAAACGCGGTTCAGGACGGAAATGACATGTTGATGCAGCTGCTTGGGCTCCAGATCCCCAAAAAGGCCGCGCTTCCGCCCGATCGTGGTGGATACGGAGACAGGTGCTTCTCGCCGGTTGCCCCATAATTCCGACAACGCCTCGAGTTGGCGAGCCGTGAAATGTGCAGAGGAACCGCCTTTCCCTCTCGACGCCGTCGGAACAGGGGCCGCGGGAATGTCAGGCACCGTCGTCGCCACCACCTCGCGGAGGTGTTCAAGAAACACCGCGGTCTTCTCTGGGCAGTGTCCCACCACATGCTTCAGTCGCTGCATGGCCTCCCGCGTGACAGCGACACCGTACGGAATGCACGTCTCCGAGGCGGTGAGTCGGACCTTTGGGGCGGCGGCGGCGGCGGCGGCGGCGGCGGCGGTAGCGGTCCCCTGCCCCGCCTCTTCCCCTTCTGCTGGCTC